GCAGATTGACCGGTTTTTCCATAATTATTTTTTCCATAATTCATGTTTGGGGCTCCACCTGTTGGACATGTCATGGATCCACAATTCAAACCCGTTTTTTTGGGGGGTATGGAAATATGTATGCAAATGCAAGTATGTAGTATCAACCCAATTAGGGGCATATACCAGATCTTTAGACACATATTTTTCTATAATTCAATATTCCCCCTTAAAACGCATTCAAATTGCGAACATCACATGATATTATGTATATCAATGGAAGACTTAGGGGCATATACCAGATCTTTAGACACATATTTTCTATAATTCAATATTCCCCCTTAAAATGCATTCAAATTGCGAATCGATGGACATACAGTCACCGACAGAATTATGGAAAAAAACAAATTATGGAAACAATAATTATGGAAAAAAAAGGTTCGTAACTTTCTATCATAGACAGGCGGCGCCTGGAAATTGAAACGTTTTTTTTTCCATAATTCTGTCAGTGACTGTAATTTCAATTCCATCTGTGTTTGGGACTATTAATATGCCCACAGGTTGTTTTTTGGCCCACACTTATTCAAGAATTGGCGTTGATTGTCTCAGCACATGTGCCAACAAAAAATGTTGCCAGAACGCTTTGACTATGGACATCTTGAAGGTCCCCATTTGCAACCTATATAATCTGTAATGGATGTCTTACTGCTTCACATGTTAAAAAAACATGAAATTTAATTTGGTAGCCGTCAGATGTGATTGTTCAGAATATTGAACTGATTGGGGTTCAGTGACAAGATTCTGGTTGGGTCCGATGACAGACACATTACATTTCCTTTTTGACTTTAATCTTTGGATTACTCCTGAAACTTGACATCCCTTATGTTGCCTTATTGTTTTTTTCCAGCTGCCAATGGGGTGGTATGAAACCAATGTCTTGAGATCTGTAGGCTCGCAGATTCAACTGACAAGATTGACAAACAAAAACATGGACCAAGTAGCCAGATTCAAATCATAATTAGTTAACAATCCATGTGACAAGATTAACAAAAAACGGACCATGTAGCCAGATCCAACTCATAATTAATTAGCCATCCCAAGGGTCATTAAATGTCCCCATTGAACATCACCCAACCATTAGGTATATGGTCTATAATGGCTACTATAAGTGATGTCCAATATTCCCAAAATGAGACAGTTACCAACCCCTGCATCCACTTGAATCCTCCGCCATGGCGCCAAAAACTCTGACGGACGAGGAGGTACTGGCAAAGAGGAAGGCAAAGAAGCGAGCACAAGCCTCGAACGTCAACAGAGCTCCTTGGACGGAACAGACTTATTTTTTCTTTTTTAATATGTTTCAGTATCAACCTTAGTATTACTACAGTTATCACTCCACGTGACACGTGCTTTTTTTTGCCACTTGGAAGTCAATGTTTTTTCTGGACCTTCATTTTTTTGATACTTTTGGAGTACCCTCACTTATGGAAGCCATTTGCCATCAACTCAGGATGACAGGCGCAAACTTGCGAAACAGACTATCAATGCTTGGTCCCACAAGAGCGTGATCCCGACAGAGGAGGAGAAGGAGGATGAGGAGGAGGATGAGGAGGAAACACCAGAGCGACCTCCCAAATGGGAAGTGCCTTTCCTGATTTAGTTGATTAGATGTTGTTTAGTTTTGGATTTGTTTTTGAAAGTCTGTTGGTTTGAATTGAAGTTTCTGTTCTCAGCCTCTCAGCATTCCTATCCAGCACCAAGGTTCGCGCGCCGCGGGGGGTTTCCACGGACACCCCCAACGGCGCGCGAACCCAAATTTGAATGTGTTGGTTTTGAACCTGTTTGATCCTGTTTGAATTTTAATGGGTTTACTTGGTGGGGGGCGTGGTGGTTTTCCATCCAAGTTGAGCAATGAAAATACTTTTATACCCTTGTTGATTGGTTACTGTGAGGTATTTTTCCTACCTAGGTTAAAGGTGACCATTCTATTCCACATTGTGTCCTATCAATTAACCACTAAAGTATTGTCAATGGTTGAGTAAAACTAAGCTGTGCTCAAAACTATCCGTGGTCCTGTCATGCTACTGATCGCATTCGGGATTCTCATTCTACATGGTAGAAATCAACTTTTCAGGTTTTCCTGGCCCCATTCATTGAATGAGTTCATGTGATTTCATTCTGTGTAATTTGAATCTTATTTATATACCCGTTGAAATTTGGATTATTGTGTACCGTTCTAGCTCATCTCATTTGTTTTATTGTGTATTCTCATGCCACATTCATGTTCATTATGTGTCATACCTGGTTACCTACAGATACGTAATTCATGTGCCCCATACCCTTCATTAGTTTGCAGAATGCTTTTGGCTCGGGTAACACTTTAGTAGTGCGTTTTTTTTTTGCCAGTGGACTTGGTTTTGAGGGCTCTGGTTTCATTTTTGTAAACAATATTTGCAAGGAGGTTTATCATGATTTATCCCAAATATGTTTATTTCATTCATTCTCCAGTGGACCTGGTTTCCAGGGCCGTGGGGTTTGTTTTTGACCTTTTTTTGGTTAGATTCCCCCTTCAATGGTACACCCTAGTTTCGCCAGTGGACCTGGTTTCCACTCCTCTGGTTTCATGTTTGTACAAAACATATGCAAGGAGTTTCATAATGATTTATCCCAAATGTGTTTATTTCATCCATTCTCCAGTGGACCGGGTTTCCAGGGCCCTGGTTTGTTTTTGATTCCTGTTTGGTTAAAATTTCCCGTGCAATGGTCCGTGAGGTGTCCCAACTCATGTTGGTGCGCTTTTTATTTCCCACACCATGTTGATGCCAAAGAAACCAGAACTTTGAATGCAACTGACCTTGAAGAGGCCTGACCTGGCGGCACTGAAACAATTTTCCCTTGAATGGGGGTTTCAAAATTAATGGGTGTTCCAAATCCTTTTTCCTGACCCTTGGAATTTTTTAAAAAAACATACCAGAGTCAGGAAAAATTGGTTTTAAGCAAGGTTTGGAACCCCATTGATTTTGAAACCCCCATTCAAGGGAAAATTTGTTACTGGCTGATGTCAGATGGCGACACCATGTGGGACTATTTGGGACAGACCATTTTTTAATTGTTGTGATGTATCACACCACCAGAATCTTGTCACTGAACCCTAATCAATTCAATCTTCTGAACAATCACATTTGATGATGGTGAGTTGATTTAGGGTTACCAGTATTACCTGGTCCAGGACGTCACAGATGGCTACAAAAACAAATTTCAAACATGATTGAAGATGTGACCTAATTGGGTCAGTTTTAGAAGCTTCAAGTGGCAGTAAGACATCTGTTACGGATGGGGTTTTTGTGGCAACAGTGTGCAAATGGGGAACCTCCAGATTTCCATACTCAAAGCGTTCTGGCAACATTTTTTGTTGGCACATGTGCTGGGAAAAGCAACGCCAATTGTTGAACAATTGTGGGCCAAAAAACAACCTGAGGGCATATTAGTCTCAAGCACAGATGGAATTGAAATTAACACTTGCTGGGTCCGATGACAGACACATCACATCTCCTTTTTGACTTTTAATCTTTGGATTAGTGCTGAAACTTGACATCCCTTCTGTTGCCTTGTTGTTTTTTCCAGCTACCAATGGGGTGGTGTGAAACCAATGTCTTGAGATCTGTAGGCTCGCAGTGCCATTGCAGCCAGCTTGAAAAACACCCAAGCGGCAAGGGACCAAGTAATTAGATAATTAGGCAAATCCAGATTCAACTCACACATTATTAGCCATCCATGTGACAAGATTGACAAAAAAGAGACCAAGTAGCCAGATTCAACTCACAACTAATCCACTTGATGAGGACCAAATAGACAAATCCAGATCAACTCACAAATTTTTAGCCATCGAAGCGCCAAGTGTTCAGCCATGCCGCCGAAAGATGTCCAGTCTGAAGCGCTGAGGAAGGCTCGGAAGCGACAACAGAAGTCCAACAAAGACCGAGCTCCTTGGACGGACCGGACCACCAAAATTTTCTTTTTATAATATTTTTTAGTATTAACCTTAGTATCACTCCAATGTGATATGTTTTTTGCCACTTGGAAGTCCCTGTTTTTTTCTGGATATGCATTTTTTTGATAATTTTGGAGTACCCTCACTTATGGAATCCATCTGCCATCAACTCAGGATGACAGGCGCAAGTTGGCACGGGCTTCCGGCACCTCCTGGGACCACAGGGAGACTCCAGTGGCTGCCCCTGCCCCTGCCAAATGGGAAGTGCCTTTCCAGATTTGGTTGTTTAGTTTTGATTGTGGTCTTTAAGTCTGTTGGTTTGAAGTTTCTGTTGGTTTTGAATGTTTTTAATGTGTTTACTTGTTGGATTTCCCTGGAGGTTCCAGATCACCGCTACAAGTTGTTCAACGTTGGCTTCCCAAGGGCGGTGTTCCTGGGCGCGGTACAGGAGGATGCAGTCCCTGACCACTTCGAGCCGGACTATCGCTTCGAGGACCCTGGAATAGTATCTTAAGTGAGATTAGACTAGAACAAGTTTTTCTTTTAAAGGGGTCCTTCGATCTAGAAGGGCTGAGGCTGCTGGTTTCTTGTGTTGGTAAAATTATTGGTAATTTGCCACTCTGCTTGGCCCCTCCAAAGTGTATAAAACGGACCTCACCAAGTCCCCCGAAAAAATAGCTTTTTCCTGAGTTCCCCAAAGCAAACTTGACACTTGGTGGGGTCCGTTTTCCGGAGCGAACCCAAGTGGAAAATTGGCATTCTTTTCCTGTTTGAAGGCGTGTGTTGATGATTCTGGTATTTTATTTATTTATTGTTTTCTTTTTTGGAGCTAACCAAGGATATTATGTTATATTATATTATGTTATGTTATGTTATATTATACTTTATTATACTTTATTATGTTTATATTATATTGTATTATATTATATTGTATTGTATTATATTATATTATATTTATATTATATTTATATTATATTATATTACATTATATTATATTATATGTCAATACCCTGAAAGATTGGATGTGCAGGAGCCACCACGAAAAAAACGCTGCTGCCGGGAGAATCCTCCGCAGGCGAAATTCTGCATGGAGTGTGGTGACCCACTTGGAATCAAAGCACAAGAAACCTGGATGCATTGTATAGGATGGTGCCCCCCTTTGTTGATGTTTGTTGGTTTATAAACAAAACAATTAACACTATAGATGCTATAGATATATCACCTAGTTCTGTTTCTCGGTTTATAAACCCAACTAGTTCCTTATATCATGTTATATCCCCCCAGTTATGTTTGTTGGTTTTTAAAAACCCCGTCAACACTATAGATACTATAAATATATCACCTATAAACATCTATAAACCAGAGTTATTGGAGTTATAAACCAACTAACTATAGTTATCTATAGATTCTATAGTGATATCTGCCATAAACCATAGTTAAACCATGAATACTAGTTTGTTATATCTAGCATAAACCATAGAATTCTGCCACTTTCGCAACTGAACGCGAGCTCGACTGGGGCCCCATCCTGTGGCCATACACTTGGAAGAACTGGTCTTGTTTGGGGATCCCAGATGGACCCACACCACCTGAGGGATCGACAAACCAAGACGAGTTGCAGATCATTGGATTTTCAGTGGAGGGGCTCGAGGACGGGCAGCGGTTTTTTTTTTTCTCCAAACAAAACCCAAAGGATCCAAATGTCTCAAGTCTTGTTTGGAATGCAAATCATACACGGTTGTAAGTGGGCTTCTGGGGTTGTTGTCGCCAATAACCAAGTGGTTTAAACATGCTGAAACACAAAGTCAGTCCCGAACTTGAAGGAAACCATCGAAGAAGACGATTGGGACGCTTTGCGTGCGCTAGTGCACAGCAAGGCAACGTTGGCAGTGAAGCAGGAGGATGAGAACGCGCCGCTTCCAATCGAGGAGGAGCCCGAGGTGGTACCACTAGAGGATGTTTGGCCGCTTCAGAAGACTATCTCCCGCAGATTCAGGAATGGGTCTGCTCAAAAATGGTGGGCTCTGCCTAAAGCTACTGGCTAATCAGAACGTTCCCCATTGAATGTCCGTAACATGTTTCTTTCGCGCCATTTTCCCTTGAAACCCTGAGGAATGGCGCGTCCTTGGAGTCTTTGATTGCCAGTTTGAATACAGATCGCCAACTTCCCATGAAGGACAACAGGTTAATTTTGAACATGGCCAGGGCTGAGATTAATGGACACGTTCGCTACTACACCTTCGACCACAGAAGGTGCTGGTGCATGCTGCAAGCGGGTGTGACGATGGTGCGGGCCAGGATCCGATTGCAGGGGCCAGCATTCAACGAGATGGTTCGCAAGAGAAACGGCCTTGGAGCTGTACCGCTCTACAGGTTGGGACCGCGGCGCTAGCAAGACATGTCTCACCTGATTTCTTTGAAAATGGGCGCGGTGAAGCCAACTGAGTTGTGGGTGTGTCGAGCATGGTAACTTCTGGTCGGAGATGGAATTGGCAAAGATCGAAGTGGAATCTTGCAAATTGGGGGATTTTGTGATGCTGTGGGACTTTCAAAAATGAGCAGTTGCTGCTCAGTAGCTTATTATTTGTTGGGATCATGAGAAGAAATCATGAAGGATAACCACCTCGCAGGACATCCAAGAGCCTAGGGCTACTGTGAAATACTGAAATTCTGAGCGGCCGTGGGATACTTCAGATGGACTGATGGTTCTTTACACTCCACGAGCGACCCGAAACCCCAAAGGTCTGGAAGACGGTATTCTGGGCTTGAGCATTGCAATCTTGGGGTTACACTGCGTCGCCCACATTCTCACTGGGTTTGATGAGAAATTCACCAGCCAACTATCTCTGTAGACCTCTGTAGTAGAATGCATTTAAGACCATTTGCCATAGCGGAACTCCCCAAACAAGTTGAAATCGGGGCTGTCTGTGTCGCCATCAAAAAACGATAGTATTGGCTACAAAGGCTGTAATCCCCAACAACTCGTCAGGGTTCCCCACATCCCATCGCCATTAAAACCACATGAGTATTTTTCCCATGTTTATATCCCATTACATAAGGGCTGCCCTTATCCCACGTTTACCAAGCATTTGTACAGCACAAGGGGCCCGCGTTCGATGGCGTTCAGTTGCCTCAGAAAGTGGCTGAATTCTATGTTTTACGGTAGATACAACGAACTAGTTTTCATGGGGTGAAACTAAACCAACAAACAAAACTGGGAGGCACCATTAAATCACCATTCAAGCACCATTGAACCACCATTAAATCCAATTGAGCCACCATTAAATCACCATTTTCCCATGGTTTTCCCATGTTTTTCCCACATTTTTCCCATGACCTTCCCCTGGATCCTGGATCCTGTGAACTAAGCCACGGTTTTTGCACCACGTTGTTGCGAGAGGTGAGCATCGTGATGCTGGGCCTCACTGAGACTGCGCAGTATGCGGGATCCACCAGCGGCAGCAAGGTGCACTAGTCGCACCGTTGCCCCGTTGAAGTTGATGAGCAACCGGGGATTCAACGGGGCCCCAGTGAGCTAGTGGATTATATGGAATGATGAAGTTTCCATGGGGGATTATAGATTATTATAGATTCATGGATGAATTCCATATGTAATCCCCAGCTACTAGCCTTTCAACCAATTGGGGGATTTTTTTGACAAAAGATCATGATCGGATGTACCAAATTTTTGGATCGATCTCCAGGGCTCCGGTTGCCCAACTTTCTGCCGATTTTCCCGATGATTTTTGTTCCACAGCAAGGGTTTGGAGCCTGAACACCCCCAAAACATGTAAGTTTGGTTGAGAACGATTCCTTTCTTTGAAGATAATTATGCTATATTATACTGGTTGGTGGCTTGGAACATTTTTCTTTTTTTATGACTTTCCATATATTGGGAATGTCATAATCCCATCTGACTAATATTTTTCAGAGGGGTTGAATCACCAACCAGTATAAGTTATAAGTTATACATGTTGAGTTATAAGCTATAAATATAACTCACCCAAAACAACGGATCTTGCGTCATATCAGAGTTAAAATGGGTCAAACTTCTCGGTTGAACTTTCACTGTGGCGAAAACGCCATTTATATTGACATGATGCTCACGAAAGCACACGGTCAGTTTTGGTTCGGGAACCTTGTAGTTCAGCCAGATAGATGCGGGTATGTACTATCCAGCTAGAGAAGATGAAATGTCGATCTTTTACTGCGATCGAATCGACAAGTGAAAAGTCAGACATGCGGTTAGTGTATGGCTATGGATCACCTACTGGTCGGTGGTTTGGAACCATGGAATTTTATGACTTTCCATATATTGGGAATGTCATCATCCCAACTGACTTTCATATTTTTCAGAGGGGTTGAAACCACCAACCAGAAAAACTATGGCTGTTTTGAAGGACCAACCACGAACCACCAATCATCCCAACTGACGAACTCATATTTTTCAGAGGGGTTGGGCTCAACCACCAACCGGCCTAAAAACGCCATGTTTTTTGGGGAGTTACATCCATCAAAAATCCCCGGACGGCAGGAAGAGCTGTTGGAGGACATCAGCAACCCAAGCAACTGGCTCCGTGACGCCTCCCGAAGCTGGGTGTTTTCGTCCACTTCAGTTGGATTTTATCAGCAAAAAATGGTGATCTCATGGTGTTTTCATGGGATGTTGGATGGATTTTTGGTGTGTGTTTTTTCCCGAGAGCGTCTGAGCGCAGGGTTCTTCCAATAGTGGGGGTCTGTAAAACATCTTCTCATCTTCACATCTCATCTTCACATCCTCTCAGCTTCACATCTGCTCATCTTCACATCCTCTCATCTTCACATCCTCTCATCTTCACATCTGCTCATCTTCACATCTGCTCATCTTCACATCCTCTCATCTTCACATCTTCTCATCTTCACATCTGCTCATCTTCACATCTGCTCATCTTCACATCTGCTCATCTTCACATCTTCTCATCTTCACATCTGTTCATCTTCACATCTGCTCATCT